GTCCAGAGAAATTTGGAGAGAAGTCCAGAGAAATTTGGCGAGAATTTCTCTGGACAGTGGGAAGTCCAGATAAATTTGAAAAGAAGTCCAGAGAAATTTGGAAAGAAGTCCAGAAAAATTTGGAGAGAATTTCTCTAAACAGTGGGAAGTCCAGAGAAATTTGAAGAGAAGTCCAGAGAAATTTAAGTCCAGAGAAATTTGGAGAGAATTTCTCTGGAGATTGAAATTTCTCTGGATCAATGTGTGAGGGACCTTAGACATTATGAAAATATTTGATGTCCTTTATGTTATAAACTCTTAATACCAGGGACTTTAAAAAAAATCCTCCCTCTCTCATTTTTAGTAATAGAAGAGATCCACAATATTATTTTATAATGTCTAAGGTCCTTCAACTCCCACATTCATATATCACAGAGAAATTTGACTCTATGAAATATTATAAAATCGTTACATATATTTTTTTGTTCTAGGTTTCGATCAATCGCAACCATGGAAAGGGGGTGGAGCCATGAGAGTAGCAACGAAGGTAGTTGGAATCACCATCATGAACGACGATCTTTGCGGCGTCCTATTGGTATCTCCGGCGGAACATCAAGTCAGCTCAGCCACTCACAGAGCCAGTCGTCCTATCTCATATATCATTGCTTCTTCTGAAGAGGTGAATCAGAACATCTTGACAACTTTTCAGAACAATCTAATCGACGCTGCGTCGCAGAGGTTGTGTTGGGAGCTCGACGATTGGGAGTTGAAAGTTCTGTTGAGTGCTTCGAAAGTTAAAATCATAAATATGGCAAACATTATTTGATTGTATAAATATATATATATATAGAGAGAGAGAGAGAGGGGTCGGACTTTGGGAAGAAGGAAATTGATGATGTGTACTCTTCTCTCCAGTAGAATCCCACTCTTTTTATTGTGTTTGTGAATTGTGATAATGTGCATATATATGAGTCAACTGATTTCTTGTAAAAAAATGATTTACTGTTATCATTTCAGTAGAATTTCAGAATTTATCCATTGTCAATGACAAACTCATGTACGGAATGGAACATTTTGTCAGGCCTGAAACAAGCAAATAGAAATCTCCTCCAACTTGGTTTGGATTTTGGGAGAACCTCTTTTTTTGATCTCATAACTAGTAAGTTTCTCCCACTCTTCTTATCGAGACTACTTATATTCAATAATTGATATTTGATTCTACAGAATTCAGGTTGTAGAGCTGGTAATAATTGTTGATTTTGCTAAATTCGACTTCACAGAGAAAATTGGTGCAGGGACTTTTCAGAGAAATTTTTAAATTTCTCTGACCTTCCCTAGACTTTCCATTGCAAATTTCTCTGGTCTTCCCTTTTCTCCAGAGAAATTTTTTTCTCTAGCCTTCCGTATATTTCCCACTCTCCATTAGAATTAGGTAAGGATAGATATACCCTGGAAAATTTGTAGATAAGTACAACAAAAATTTATTGAATTCATTCAAAGAAAATGATAGGAATTTCCCAAACAATTGTAGAAATTCTGAATCAATATCAACATTATAGCATATTCAAACAAGAGGAAGCACATTACAATTCAAGCCTGAGAAGTCAGCAAATTGATTGCAAAATGGTGTTGAAACATAAATATATTAGGATCATTGACAACTGCTTCCAAAAGTGCCTTCTCAATTTTTCTCCCAGTCATATTTTTCTGGACTAATTTTCTCTTTGAAGTTGAATTTTCTCTGGAAGTCTAGGGAATGACTTCTTCTCTTTCTTGTCTATGCTAAGGTATGGCAAGATCTTACTGTCAACCACCTCATCTTGTTGGACTTGATCTACAAAGAGCACTAGGATTAGCAAACAGAATTTTGATAGCAACCCTTCATGAAAAGATATTTGTAAGAGAACATATAAAATGCACGATGATGCAGAGTTTCTTGGATTGTGTGAATTTTCTCTGGATGTCTAAATTTTCTCTAGACTATCTGAATTTTCTCTGGATAAAGAGAATTTCTCTGGATGTCTGGAGAGAATTTCTCTGGTCGAATTTTCTCTAGATCGATGTTGAGGGACCTTAAACATTATGAAAATATTGAGTGTCCTTTATGCTATAAATTCTTAATATCAGGGACCTTAAAAAAATCCTCCTTAAAAAAAACCAATTTATTTAGCACTTTCCAAAACAACCCAGGCTGATTTTGAAATTGATTTTGGTGATTTGAACTGTTCACTTTTGTAGATTCATTAGGTAGAATATTCATATAAAAAATAAGGTGATTGGATATTAATAACTATATATTTGAATCATATTAGTTTTAAAAAAATAGACGACAAATATAATTTTAAAAATAATCATATATTTTTTGTAATATAAATTTGATTCAAATATATAATTATTAATATCTAATTATTTTATTTTTTATATAAATATTTACTTAATGATTCTTAAACAATAAATGATTTAAATTATTAAAACTAGACATATACCCCTCAAATTCTCACATTAAGAAATATGAAAGGCGAGAAGACTAATCCATTATGGATTCGTTTGGGATATGAATTGGCTTTTTAAATTTTTAATTTTTTTAACTTGGGGCTAAAAAGTCTAGTTTAGATTAGACTATTTAGCTTTTTGACTTTTGTGAGAAAAAAAATAAAATGATTATGGGTTGGATGTGATATTTTATCTTATTAGATTAAAAAGCTTATTTTATTTATTTTTGACTAAAATAGTCAAAAAAATCTAGCATGACAAACGAAGGATATATTTATGGGAAATTCTATTTCCACATATCTAATTAGCTCAAAGCACACACTTAATGAAATGTTAATTTAATGACAATTATATCTTAAATAAAAATGATTATAATAGACATCCGGCAATACCCATAATATTATATAATTTTTTTATACACATCTATTAAAAATAAAAAAATCTTAATGTACACATTTTGAATTAAAAAAAAATAAATTAAATCCTAATTTTTTTATTATTTTTCATAAAGACCAATCAGATCATCAATCTCAATAAAAGCAGAGCGATGAAAACAAATAAAGTACATTAATCTCTTCCCACTGCAAATTTTGTTTCTGTAAATAGTCCTCAAAACATAACAGAACATAAGGGCCACCATTTGATGCCCATATATCATAGCATTTTTAAACTTTCAAGACAGCCTTGTGAACCATAGTTTCCTTGTGGATTTGGTGACATCTTTTCTCAAAATGTTATTTTTATGTGAGATTAATTTATTTCTATTAACGTTTAGAAGTATTTATTTATTTTAATTGTGTGCGAGAAAGAAATATACTATTTTGGAGCATTTGTAATGGTCTTTAATGGAAGTTTAATGGAAGTCTATGCAAGTTTTTAATGGAGGAAATTTCATTTCGAACCACAGTCTTCTTTAAGGGTGTGGGTGGGTCAATGTGGAAGTAAGGCTAATTAAAAGTATGTGGAAAGCGGGTTAGGGATATGTGTACAATAATTATAAGTGAAGGGTATAATTGTAACTTTAAATGTATAAATTGAAAAAATTAATTGATAATCAAATTAATAAGTGTATGTATTAAAAAAAAATTATACCTTAAACTAATTAAGTGTGTAAAAATAAAATTTCTTTATCTTTATGGATGACATCAACATTGCATTCATAGAGTTATACAGCACTAACCCCACAACTTCCGTTGGCATTTTGAGACCTCGTTTAGGAATTACATATTTTAATTCAAAAATTAAAAATTATTATAAAATTATTACATTACTTTATATATATATATTTATATAAAAAATTAAAAAATTATTAAAATAATATGTTTCGAAGCAATATCAAATACCTTTTGTCTCTCCCAAAATACATATTTTAATTAAAAAATAAAAAATTATTATAAAATTATTACAGTACTCTTTATTTTTTTAATTTATTTTTTATATAAAAAATTAAAAAATTATTGAAATAATGGATGTTTTGAGAGATAAATTTTTTAAAAAAAAATCTTGCGGAGAGAATTTAGAAATTTTTTTGGTTTATTTGGTTGTATATTTTAGAAATAGTTTTGGAGTGTGGGAATTTGGGATGATTTGATATTTTATGGATATGGTTTCTGACTGAACCGTGCTGTTGGGCCCATAGGGGCCCACCACGGGTCCCATTTTGATAATTTGAATCGTTTAATGTGTAGAACTCATCGAGTACTATATGCCTGTAAAAAATCACGTTAATTGAATATTGATAGTTATATGATCAAATCAGTTTCGTATTAAAAAAATTGGACGGTGAATAAATTAACGGTTGAAAAAAAACTATTTTCATCATATAGCTATCGATATCCGATCAACGTGATTTTTTACAGACATATAGTACGCGATGAGTTCTATATATTGCATGGTTCAGATTATCAAAACGGGACCCGTGGTGGGCCCCCACAGGCCCAACAGCACGGTCCAGTCCGATCCCGGACTGGACAGAAGCCCTACCCATATTTTATTATAATTGAGTAGATGTGTGTAAATAATTGAGAAAGATAAAAGAGAGAAAAAAAATAATTGATTAATATGTAAGAGACAAAAAATAATTTAATTTTTGTTTTTAAAATCACTAAATTAAACAAAATTTTAAAAAATCTTCTCCAAAATTTATCTATCTATCTATCTATTATAAAGTGAACACATAACTCTTATGGTGTCCTGAAGCTTTACTCTCCTCATGCCATGTGGCAGTATTTTTTATTTTTTAAAAAAAAGTTAAACAAAGAGATGGGCAAGGCTTAACCCATGACCATGAGTTTAAGTATGAGGACTCATACCACTTAAGCTAAGTACACATTATAATATTAATTTCATTATTATTATTTTTTATTCCTACTTATTTAAATTGCACACATATCGTGTGTGCGCCACCCACTAGTTTCTTAAAAACAAACCAAATAAGGCCAATATGTTTCCAAGATCAAGTACCTTTGTCTCTCCCAAAATTGTGTTGTATTTCTCTCCCAAATTTTTTCCCTCTCTCTCTGATATTCTCTCTCTCTCTCTCTCTAAATCCCTCTTTGATTCCTTTCTCAACCACAAATGGCTCCCTCAAATTGCAGCCACAGATTCTTCAAGTTCAGGCCCTCCTTGATCACGAAAGCCCTTTGATCTCTCTCTCTCTTTCTCTCCCCATTATCCATTTTTAATTCTTCCAACTTTCCAATTCTGTCCTCCCCCACTCCCTAGCAATTTTCCTTTCCGCCCTCCAGAAAATTGGACTTTCCAGGCAAGGTCCATTTTCCCAAGAAAATATCGTTACTCTGCTACGCTGTTGTACCTATCAACAAACATTTCGCTCTCGTTTTCTCGCTGTCAAATCCAACCCCACAACTTTTTCAACAACCAAATGTTTGCTAAGAATTACGACTTTTCACGCGCCGTGGTGGAGATGGCTTGGATTATGCTAAGGATTGACTACTCGAGGCTCTTCTGGCTACTATTTGGTGTTTTCTCTTACGAAAATCACGAAGGAAAGCCTCGAATTTAGCTTTTGTGCTTCCAATTAGCTCTTTCCTAAGTTTCAATTAAATTTCTACGTCAAAACACATATAGAGTTGAATAATTTTCTACCTCGAAGCTAGTTCGAAGATCTTCTCCTCACTTCGCACTCGTCGATACACACACACACACAGCTCAAAACATGCACAAAGGAAGGTTTCGAGAACGCACTGATGATGCCAAGCCCGATCATGGCTACGCTGAAACCGATCCAACCGGACGCTATGGCCGTGTAAGTTCATATATTCATATCTATATAGATATAGATATAGATATAGATATAGTATACATACATACACACACACACATATATATATATATATATATATATATATATATGACTCTTAAAAACAGTGATTTTAGCATCAACAAGTTGTGAAACATATAGTTTCATATTTGGTTATGTGAAGAAGGTGTAATAGTTTTTAATTGAAGTGCTGATACGTTTTACAAAAGTCACACCTGTGATTATGAATATAATATTACGAACTCTCTATGATTGAGTAGTTTAATTTGCCTTGTTGCTTTCACTCCTTCAATAATTTTCATAGTTTATGAAGTCTCTATTAAGTGCGTTTTGTTGCTTCAAATTATTTATTTTTTTATAATTGTTTTATCACTGAGTTTTTCGCATCGATTTTGTTAATTTATTTGATGAAATCATCCTAAAAGAAAGAAATCCATGAAAATGACTATTTTAAATGTCATAGTCCCACCAATTTCAACTCTTTTCAATTTTGTTATTTTATTTATTTACTTATTTCATATTTTGAGTTGACCTCCTGCACATATTCATGAAGAAACATGGCCCTATATAGGAAGAAGTGCGATTTGTGATACAGAATTACTGCAAAGTGAACTAAAATATCAATTCAGTTTTTGATCGCATGCTTGTGGTTGTCATATACATAGTTTATGTGGGTTTATTAATTGGGGTTGCCTCGGATTCGATAGCACACAGAGTATTAATTACTAAATTACTAATGATATGACTATCCTATCAAATCAAACTAGGAGTCGTGTTATTATTAATTTGGAGGTTCGTTATCGGTTATCTTAAGATGGTTGAGCAATACCTCTGCATGAGATTAATAACACCAAGCAGGAAAAGTAGAAGCAGGAACATGCATATCGGAAAACCTCTGAATTACTAACAAGACTTGAGATTAAGAATAATATATATATGGAAGTTAGTCCAACTGGATTTTGTAACTTCAAATTATTGAAGTAAATAAAACAAACTTTGTTAACATAGCCCTTTCAGCTAGCTCCCTTTGGCTTCATCTACAATAACAACATTGATTACGATTTATTCTACCTTCAAAACTATTTGAATGGTTTTAGAATCTCAATTTCCAGTGGTGATTCTAGAAAAATCAATCTTTATTTTATTGGAGAATCAATTTTCATATTTACTGATTGAGTTTTTTGTTGGATGATTTAGTAATTAATCACTTGAAACCCATAATATGAGTGTCTCATATCTCTCATTGGACAGTATGAAGAAGTTCTTGGAAAAGGGGCAATGAAAACAGTGTACAAGGCCATTGATGAGATACTTGGAATGGAAGTGGCATGGAACCAGGTAAAACTCAATGACTTGCTTCAGTCACCAGAGGACTTACAGCGGCTATACTCAGAAGTTCACCTCCTCAGCACACTCAATCATGATTCGATTATCCGATTCTACACATCTTGGATTGATGTTAATCGAAGAACCTTCAATTTCATTACTGAAATGTTTACTTCCGGCACCCTGCGAGAGTAATTTCTGATTCCCACTTTTTTATTGGCTAGATCTCAACTCTGATGTGTCCTCAAAATTTAGATGTTGCTGAGCTGAAATTTCCGTGAATGATATTCATTGACCATTGACAGATTTTCTGAATGCTCTAAATAAGTCAGTCATAAGGTGGTGGATGGAATTACTGTCATTTTGTTAGCCTCCTAAACCACAAGCCCGAAAAAAATTCTCTTAGATATAGTTGTTTTTATGAGTAAATCCAGGGTTGATTCCCTCAGCATGAGGGGTTAATGGGGTGGGGTCCACTGTCATCTTGTTTAATTATGATGATGATCTCACTTAAGGTAAGCGAAAAAGAAAACAAGAAGAAATAAAAAGTTCAAACTACCATAGATATTTATTATAAATGGACAATTAGGGATGATGAGAGTTTCAGAACTTCACACCCTTATGTCATCCAAAGAAAGTGCATAAAATGAGGTTATGAAGTTCAGTGGATGCTGTGGAGGATGTTATGATAGATCATCCAACTAAGTGGCTTAGACATGTGCTGGATGTTGAGTGCATTAAACTTGGTTGGAATATGCCATACTAAGATCAATGAATAGTTTGCTCAGGTTCATCATATGGCTACATGGTTGGAATCTTCTATGGTTTGATACATATAATTTTATATTTGACTCTTTACATGAACTAGTATTGAATAGAAGTGCAACTATGTGATGTATCGCAGATATAGGAAGAAATATAATCAAGTAGACATCCATGCGATCAAGATTTGGGCCCGTCAAATACTAGCTGGCCTTGTTTATCTGCATGGCCATGATCCTCCAGTGATCCATAGAGACCTCAAGTGTGATAACATCTTTGTCAATGGCCATCTTGGACAAGTGAAGATTGGTGATCTAGGCTTGGCAGCAATTCTCCGAGGTTCTCAGACAGCACACAGTGTTATAGGTACTCATTTCTTTATCATTTGCACATTACAATATTAGATAGTAGACACACTAACAAGAATTTTATAGTGGGTGAAATGGTTAAGTCACTTCATTCAACTCAATCTTGAATCTTTTAGTCAGTGGATCAAAATGATCAAATCCAAACCTACCCAAGTACCCATTTTAGAAAACATTCTGGCCAAATCAACTTTTCCTAGAATGATGTTATATCCTGTTTGAAATTTGAGCCAAAAACAAATTATAAGTTAAGGTATACAGTAGTGTAACAGAGCATCCTAATTTTCTTTGACCCAAAATACTTCCACCTTGCATAGGATGAAGTGAAACTATCCTTAACCAGGTGGCCAAGCAGGACCTTATCTATTTTAACGGTAGAAAATTGAACCAAATTATGACATGCAATATAAATTGGTCAAACCCTGAGTTGTAACCTCAATATATCATTTTTTTTAACTAAGCAAGTTTAAACTAATTACTACTTATAAAATTTTCTTGGTGCTAGGCACACCAGAGTTCATGGCACCAGAACTATATGAGGAAAATTACAATGAACTTGTTGATGTCTACTCATTTGGTATGTGCGTTTTAGAGATGCTCACTTCTGAATACCCATATAGTGAATGCACCAACCCGGCACAAATTTACAAGAAAGTAACATCGGTAAGGTCAGACTTGGATATGGAAACACATATCTATCAGTCACTGATAATCTGACCTACCTTTGGCTTTCTTCATTCAGGGAAAGCTGCCTAGAGGATTGTACAAAATAGAAGACCTTGAAGCACAGCGATTTATAGGCAAATGCTTAGTAACTGCCTCAAAGAGATTATCAGCGAAAGAACTATTGCTTGACCCATTTCTTGCACTTGATGAAGATGACTTGCTGCCTTCAACAAAGATTGGACGTCCAAAGCCATTTTTGAATGGCGACATAGGAATTGCTGAACTGCAACTCCATGAAAGTCCACCAAGAACCAACATGACTATCACAGGGAAGCTAAATCCTGACGACGACACCATATTTCTGAAGGTGCAGATTGCCAATGAAGAAGGTGTGACTTGAGAAACATTTTTGTTCCTATTGTTACTATTTAACATGGTTACATGCACTATCTATTTAAAGAGATTGTGAGTTTTGTCAGTTTAGTTATGCTTTACCAGTTAGATAAAATACCATTAATAAGCCACATGTTGTTCTTTTAAGTCTGACAAATACAAAACCAAATGAAAAAATAAGATGCTGTAGTCCTTTTTAAGTCTGACAAATACAAAACCAAATGAAAAAATAAGATGCTGTAGTCCTCCGCCATTGTGGTGTGACCCCCTCTATTGCAAGTGGGTCAAACTTGTACAGTGCTTGGTAGTTGTAAGCCTTGTCTAAATGATAGCCCAAGGCATGGCTGGCCCTGGAAAAAAAAAAAAAAAAAAAAAACTCACTGGCAGCAAAAGCTGGTACCTCTGGTTGAAGCCTACCTCTAAAAAAATAAGATGCTGTAGTCCTCTGCCATTGTGGTGTAACCCCCTCTATTGCAAGTGGGTCAAACTTGTACAGTGCTTGGTAGTTGTAAGCCTTGTCTAAATGATAGCCCAAGGCATGGCTGGCCCTGGAAAAAAAAAAAAAAAAAACTCACTGGCAGCAAAAGCTGGTACCTCTGGTTGAAGCCTACCTCTAGATCTTTATGTGGTTTTGTTTCTTGTATTGTGTTTCTTGCAGGTTCTGTTAGGAATGTATATTTCCCGTTTGACATTGTAAGTGACACGCCATTAGATGTTGCGTCTGAGATGGTGAAGGAGTTGGAGATCATTGATTGGGAACCCTTTGAAATTGCGGATATGATCGATGGAGAGATATCTGCTCTCATACCACATTGGAAGAAACAGGACCAGCATCAATCAGATCACTGCCACATACATAATTATCAAGAGGAGGACGGACACCATCATCTTCTCTACCCTTTCTCCTCTTGTTCATCATCGCAAGTTTCACTCTCAGAGTTGATTAATTGTCACGAGGTGGATGAAAGGTCCCATGGTTGTGATTGGCTCCAAGGTATGTTTCTAGTAATTTTATTTATTAGGCCGGGATTGTGTTTCGTGTAGATTTTAATTTGATCTATTAGCAATGAAGAAACGTACATAGCTATCTTAACCAGTATATGCTATTGCAGCATCACCTTAATATAAAAAATAGCATAATTATCTTTCTGGGAATCACAGGTTGTAGGCACTATCCTTGTGACCAAGGGTCTCATTATTGATTCTGTTCCATATGATATATGAGGTCAAGCTTAAATCCATGTTCCACAATGGTCATATTACATGTAATTTCTTCAGTTCTTCATTGTGTTTTTCATGATAGTGCCTTCCATAGAGAAATATTCCGTATTATAAATTCCAAATCACGTCAATTGGTAACAAAATATATTCAGGCCCATAGTAGAAGTAGAACACTAATGCACTTAGTGTATTCAAATTCATTTATGATCCTCGCAATAGACATGACATATGACATTGTTAAATCATGTTATTCATGGGTTTATTTTCTTTTCAATTGGACTACGAAATCTTTCTCTGCTTTATATCACTAAACATATGATGCTAGCTTTCCATAACTAAAACACAAAGCACAGAATCCATACTATCAACCAATAAATAGGAACAAAAATGTTGCTGCAGATGACTTATTTGATGATACCAGCTCTCAAAGTTCTTTCCATTCTGGAAAATATTCCAACTTTAATTATTATTCTGGTGAAGAGCACGATTCTGATATGAACCCTATAAGACGAGATCATCAATACTCGATTGCAAATATGCACAACTCTACAAGGTTCTGTCGAGAAGAAACTTCTAGAATGAGGCAGTCCCCGGTTAGAAACTGCCACAAGCAAGCTTCCACTTCTAAAGATAAACGACTGATGGACTGCCGTCGATTAACAAGGAACCAATCTCTAGTGGATATGCGTAGCCAGTTGTTGCACCGGTCATTAGTGGAAGAGGTGAATAAGAGACGATTGTTCAAGACTGTGGGCGCTGTGGAAAATATTGGGTTTCAGGCACCTTGTGAGGTTTCTGGGAAGGAGTCACGTCCAGTGGGAGGTGCATCTTCTGTGAGAACTAGAAACGAACGTAAGAGACATGGGCATAAAGATAGAAGAACTTAAATTCTCAGATCGCTTGAATCTGAAAAAAATTCAGACATAGTTCAACTTTGTATATATAGCTATGCAAGTATAAATGTTGTCTGATGCCTAGACATTGTCCACACAAACTTTGGACTTTCTGTTTATATTTTGAGGTATTGTAACAAAGATTCTCATCAAGCAGCAAAAACCTTGTTTATATCCCAAGCTTCCCTTTCTTTGGTAGCTTTGCTCGGCGAGTTTTGGTTGATTGATCTTACATTAATCCCGGGACAGCTTCAGGAAGGATGGTTGTGGTTGATGTCATCGTTTTGTATTTTGCTTGTATGTTTTACGTATTTCTGAATTACCCAAAAAACAATAAAATTCAGAAGAGGAAGGTTTATTCGGTACTGTTTTGAGCGTTGTGTGTAATTTTTTTTGTGTGATTGGATTGTGTTTTAGTGGAAGTGCTGATGACGGTTCTCTGTTTATGTTGTTCCATACTTGTCTGCGTGAGCCACCATTTCATGACTTTTTGATTGAACACATTTTCAAAGTTATAAGTTCCTTACAAATTTGGAGAGACAGCAAAGTTTTATGTGAGCTCTCTCTCAACAAGTAATTGATGAAAGGAGTGAAAGAACAAGCTGCAAACTAGCCAATATGTAATCAAGGCATTTTGTCTAGGGGGTTGTATAACTACTTTTGTGGTGGTGTTTATTTTTATCCATTATGAGAGTTGTATGTAAGTAGTAGTATAATGACTCTTGGATGATTGTTTATTTCTTTCCTAGAGTTTAGGTAAATAGTAGAGTAGTTGTTGGAGTTGTGCTCCATTATGGGGTTGTATTATGGGGTTGTATGTAGATAGTTAGGTAAGTAGTAATAGTGTGGTTGTTGGGCTTTAGTTGAGGGATTGTTAGGCAAGTTCACTTATTTGCTTATTTATTATAAGTTATCACATTATTTTTATATTTTTTTATACATTTTTTTTTTTTTTTTTAAAAAAATTAAAAATTACACTTATTTAAATTATTCCAAACAACCTATTAATTTTCCCCTTTTCCTTCTCTCACTCACACACATACCCGCACAAAGTTTGCTTTTTTATTTCTTTACGTCTCGTTTGGAAATAAATTATTTTAATAATTTTTTGATTTTTAATGAGAAAATGTACAAAAAAATAAAAAAAAGTGATTTAACAACTTATAGTGATTTTTGAACTTTTTGATTAAAATATATAATTGCCAAACAAGACCTTAACTAATAATTAAATTATCTTACTCAAAACTATGTATGTATATCAAATCAAACCCTAGGTTGGTTTCGACGGTTCTATTGACCAAATCAAGCAAGATCTTGAGTTAAACTAGGCGCGGCTTGCACTCATTATCAGGTTTCTTTTTCCTTCTTTCTCCCTTCTTAGTTTCATTTATTTATCAATTTTAGATCATACGGCCACTTTGAAAATTATCACTTTCTGTTCTAAATGTATATTGATAAAAGGACGAATTACACTAACAGTTCTTATAGTTTGTTCTCGTGTTATTTTTGTTTCTGACTTTTCAATTGTGACACATTTGACCTTAAATTTTAAATCTTATTCTAAATAAGGATAATTGAAGATATCATTGGACATTTTAAGGGCAAAATTGTCAATTTAATAAAAATATAAACTAATTTGATAAAAATAAATGTGAAAAAAATATTTTTAAAATTTTTAAAATTATTTCTACCTACCAAAGATAAAATTATGTAAAATTAATAAATCTTTTAGACATTTATTTATTTATTTTACCAAATTAATTTTTATTATATGTTTGGATGTTGATTATGTAATGGTTAGTTGTTAAACTTTTAATGTGTAATCGTTATATTTAATATAAGAAATATTTTTAGTTTTAAATTTTTTGATTTAATGGATTGGTTTAATAATGATATCAAATTTGTCGCCATATTTGAATTTTAGAAAAATAGAAACTAATTTAATGAAAACAAAAATAACCACCCATTACACGATTATTATCCAAACACAAAATAAAAATTAATTTTGTAAAAAAAAAATGTCTGAAAGATTTATCAATTTTACATAATTTATCTTTAGTTGATAGAAATAATTTTTAAAAATTCAAAAATATTTTTTTGATATTTATTTTTGTTAAATTAGTTTATATTTTATCAAATTGACAATTTTGCCCTTGAAAAATCCAATGGTATCTTCAATTGTCCTTATTTAGAACAAGATTCAAAATTCAGAATCAAATGTGTCACAATTGAAAAGTCAGGGACCAAAATGACACAAAACCCAAATTATAGGGACCGTTAGTGTAATTCACCCTTGATAAAACTTGTAAATAATCCTTATCCAGAGGCACAACTATTGAGAATTAGAATAATATCCCCATATTTTCATGTATATTAAATTGTAAAGAAACGATACCATAGTTTTATAAAAATTACTTCATCCGGATTTTACAATGTATATAATGACATGATCCCCAATTATTTTATAATGAACACCATCAACTTTATCAAGTCGATTTCATTCGTGCTGTGCGACTTCTTTTTGTTTTTTAATAAATTACATTGATCTTTCATAAAAGAAAAATTTTAAAAATAATAAACTCTACAAATTTGACTTAATTATATTAGACTCCTTTAAGGTTTAAATTCACGTAATATTTTCCTATTTTTCATTACTAATTTTTTAGTCATGTAAATGAAAAATTAATATTGTTTTCTCTTCTATACTGGAATAAATATTATACCTTATTTATTTTTATATTTTCACACTATAAACATTAGTTTTGATCATTTTATTTTTATTAAAAAGATAATTAGTGTGACAATATCAAAATGTGAGGTTTACTGTATTACCTCCAAATCTCATTGGAGATCAATATACATGGTCGACTTGAAATTGCTAACCCAATCGCATGAAACTGGATATGCATATGACTTTGTCATTCACTAACAGAAAAAATTATTAAATAAAATAGTCTGTCACTCATCATGTTATCATTCCTCCATCAATTTTAACACTCACATCAATCAATGCTAGAAAAAAAAAATGTTCTTATCAAACTACTAAAATTTTTACTATATAGTGTGGGACTCACGTCCATTTGTTCTATCAACAATGATTCATCCTACTAAAAACATCACCACTAATAACACTAATGCATTAAAAAAGTAAAAAAAAAAAAAAAAAAAACAACTAATTTCATAGCTATAAATTGACATTCACAGCCCAAATCTGTCTCTGTATATATAAAAAAACAAGATCAAATCTTGCACACAAGATCAAATCTATTCTTGTATATACAAAAAACAAATTACAAAATTCAAAACTCTAAGTATCCAAATTCACTTCAACATATTTCATTATATGCGTTAAATCCCAAAACAAGATCAAAATAGTTCAATATTGTATGAGTTAGAACACTATGACGACTTCAACTTTGTCTTTCTCTCGCACCATCTCTTCACAAGTTCAGTTACAAGAGCAACATGCCCTAAACAATTAGTTGTTCCACGACCACAAAAGCTTATCACCGTCTATAGTCATAGAGAAAGGATGAAAATCATGCACACATGATCATAATCAGAAGTGTAAACAAAGTTCAAAAATGCAAAAGAGATGTAGATGAATTCCAAAAATGGATATCAACCTTGAAGAACTTAACTAAGGCATTTAAAGCAAATAAAAACTCAAATTTTTGAGGCAAATTGAAAGAAATTTTAAAAAAAAAATTATTTGACTTCTATTACAAGTGTAGCATTATTAGCAGCCCAAGTACAAGCAGCCTACACAAGAGCTGCAGCCTCAGCACAAGTGTGTGCAACTGCATTACAAGTGTGTTCAACAATTAAATATAATTTGTAGCATATGCAAACGTATTAACTTCTATTATCAATTTCAGCATGTATTTTATAAGGAATAATTTTAATATTTAAAATTCAAAACATTACCTTGTACGTCTTGTCATCTCATAATTGACACAGGTATCACCACACCACTTTTTCGATATTCTTCGTGTGGGTTTACAAGGGCCGATTCCAAAATTAATACGCTTTCATCATATCACCAAGAAGAAAGCAACATAATGATTTTAATTTATGCAAAAAGGATTTAAATTTATTACCGACTAGGCAATCCAGAATACATAGTACTCCCTCCACTTAAAACTATGTGCAGGTAGAGCTGTGAAAAACAAAACAAATTAGGGGTTAAAAAATACTTGAAAATAAATTCACATACATTACAAAGTGTATATTGTACAAGGCATGAAGTGGTCACATGGTATAGAAAAAATCTATATAGCAAGACAAGTGTATCTTCATCAAAGTTATAGGATATATATGTCATTGTTATAACTATTAAGATTGATAATACTATATGCTTTTAAGTAAAAAACTGTAAGAATTATTGCTTACCAAATGACCTACATACTATCATCCGATTATTAATGTCCATTTCCTAAATACAATAAAATACCATGTCAGCCATTCCATCACCTTCGACGTCTATGAGTTCCTGCAAGAAGAAAGCAATTCAAACTTCTACAAATTCCAGCCTATCAACGTATTATTAAAACTGTGTAACCTCATAGATCTAAAAATACTTCACTGAAATTAGCATTTTACATGTTGAGAATGCTCTAACAATGTTATAGTTCATGGAAAACTCCACAAAAAATACTGATTCATAAAATGAATGAATCTGATGGGGCTCAAGATCAGCTATAGTTGTAGGAAGGCTTGTTAGAAGCTTAGATACAAATGGTTCGCTTTCTCTAATCTAGAAACAATAGAAGAAAAGCATGACACATTCAATAGGCCCATCATAGTTTTGTTCAGGTTTATTAAATCTTGCATCCAACTCCTATCCATCCCAAAATCCCTATTACAAAATATACAAAGACATTATCCTTAAATTCCAATATCTTGTTACTTTCTATATGTGGTCTTAAAGGAGAAACACAACTAAATTCTTAAAGAAGTTTCACTAATATGTATATCTACTTTTGACTATGTAATTCATATCTATCTTTCTACAAACAGAAATTTGGGGATGTATTGCCAAGGCACACCACATAACATTTGTTAAGGTACTTAAGAAAAAAAAATATCAAATGGGCCGAATTAGTCAGTCCAATGAGCTGGATAACGAGTCATCAAAAAAAAAAAAAAAGGTACTTGAGAAATCAAAGGTGCAAACAAAATATTCAAATCTAGGTTCAAACAACAACAACAATACAAAAACAACACTAGAGATTAAACTCTTCAACCAGCAAGAAAACAACCCATCCATTACCTATTCAAGCATAATAGTTTCTATGCTGCAAGGCAATTATATGACAAGCAACGGGTAATTTAAAGGTCCATATATCAAGGTAACATGGAAACTTCAAGATGTAATATGTAGCCAAGGGACAGATAACTACTTGAAAAGACCACTTTTAAGCACATAAATTCAACAAGATCCG